AATGAAAAGAAGAACTAGGGGAGACATGATAGCAGTGTTCCAATATCTCAAGGGCCACCACAAACAAGAGGGAGTGAAGCTATTCTCCAAAGCACCTAAGGGAAGAACAAGAAGCAATAGGTGGAAACTAATCAAGGAGAGAAGCAATTTAGAACTAAGGAGAAATTTCCTGATAGTTAGAACAATTAATCAGTGGAACAACTTGCCTCCAGAAGTTGTGAATGCTCCAACACTGGAAGTTTTTAAGAAGATGTTGGATAACTGTTTGTCTGAAGTGGTGTAGGGTTTCCTGCCTAAGCAGGGGGTTGGACCAGAAGACCTCCAGGGTCCCTTCCAACTCTGTTATTCTATTCTATTCACTGTAAAGACAACGGTTGGCAATTATCCTTAAATTGTCCTTAAAATTTGACTATATATATATATATCTGCATATCCAAAACGATAGGAGAAGAGGAATACATGATTATGTTGAAGCCAGATCTATACTAAATTATATTCTAAATGGAGTGAAGAGAGGAAGTAAAATTTAGGGTTTCCCCCAAGAACGAAAACCAGGAACAAGAATTCCCCACTGCACAGGCTATAGTAGTAGAAAAACTGAATCCTTTCAATTACATGTATTAAACTGGGAATGGGCAAGCCAATTTCAGGGTTAACAATGAGCCAACTACTCTGGGGCAGCCAGGGCTCCATTCGGTTCATCAGCTATAACAATATTGTAGAACAGGCATTGAACCCATAAACCAGATAGCTGATCTTCTAAGCCAGGGGTGTCAAACTCAAGGCCTTCAGACCGATCAGGCCCGTGGGGCTGCCCTGGAAACAACAAAAGACCGGCCTGTGGTGCCACTGCCAGTGAAAACAGAGCTCGGTAGGGATGCATGTGGCCCTCCCGAGCTCCATTTTCACTGGCAGGGCACTGCAGGAGGCCCCGGCAGGCACTCCCGACACAAGTGATGTTGAGCTGGCCACACTCATCCTGGCCACGCCCATCCTGGCCATGCCCCCAGCCCCTCCCCCCCAAGGTTAAACACAACACTGATGTAGCCCTCACTTCTAGGCCAACTGGAGCAGGTCATCACTTTTCACCCTGTCTTCTCTTTAATGCGCCATGGGTTGTCCAGATGGGAGATCTTCCATTTTTCCAGACCAAACATGCTTTCATGCTGGACCATGCTGGACTGGCTTCTGCTTACTTTGGTAGTAGGCTATTTATGAGAACAAAGCTCTGTTGGGAGGACAGGTCTTCAGAAAATATTAAATGTATTTTTATCTACATGTACCCTCCTAGGCTGTGTAGCTGAGCCCTGTGTGCTGTTGTTCATCAAAATAACAAACCAGTGGATATGGCAGGTATCAAAGTTTGTAAACTTTTTCCAGTGAGAATTCTATAAGATCTTTTGGGGAGAATTAATAGCTTCCAAGTGTTTTCTGTAATCATATAAGAGTCTTTTTATATTTATTCTGGATTTTATGTCCACCTTTATTTGCTAAACTCATCAGAGGAAGAATTGGTTGTCACATAACCCCAAAGCATAATACAGCCATCCCCTGTGCTTAATGGTTGGCATTCTTTAGTTCTTCGGCCTTGTTTCCCCAGATGTATCTTATGGAGTTGTGGCCCAACAGTTTAATTTTTGTTTCATTTTTCCGAAGTATTTCGATCCCAAATATTTCAGGTTTCTTGTGCTTTTCTTTTGCACAATTTAGAGAATGTTTTTTTTGTGGTGAGGTTTCTTTCTAACAACTCTCCCATGCAGATCATTGTATAAGCAATGCTATTGTGTGGTCCTATGGATACCTGCTCCAGTGTCAGGTAAAGTTTTCAGGCAATTGCTTACAGTAATGTGTAGGTTCTGTTTTGCGAGTGTTTTTAGTTGGGGGTAATTCTACCAGTGATTTTTCTTGATTTTCCAGCTGTTCCATAATCAATGAAAAAATGAAACCTAGAAAGAGGTTAGCTATCTCAACAAAATCCATCTTGAAGTACTTATAGAAAAAATGAAAAAGGTTTTGGAATAGCCTTCATAGTTAATAGACTTGAAAATCATCTGGGGGCATTCAATGCATATAAAGAGATCTAAGAATATTTCTGAGCTAGAATTGTTTTGTAAGGAACAGTAGAGAAAAATTCCAAAAGTAAAAATATCATGGACGACTATAAAAAATAATGGAAGTCATTATTTCTGCCAAAAGAAGTGTTACAAAGTATTGACTGAAAGAGTATCCAAACATCTGCATTTGTAATATCCATTTATTTTATTTATTTTTATTTTTTATTTATTTTATTTGTCAAGAACGTATTAAGTAATAAGTATAAGCATGGATTGGATACATAAAATAGATACAAATAGAGGATACATTAGGACAGGGACGATAGGCACGCTGGTGCTCTTATGCACGCCCCTTACAGACCTCTTAGGAATGGGGTGAGGTCAACAGTAGCCAGTCTTAGGTTAAAATTTTTGGGGTTTTGGGATGAAACCATAGAGTCAGGTAGTGCATTCCAGGCATTGACCACTCTGTTGCTGAAGTCGTATTTTCTGTAATCAAGTTTGAAGCGGTTTACCTTAAGTTTGTATCTATTGTGTGCTTGTGTATTGTTGTGGTTGAAGCTGAAGTAGTCATTGACAGGTAGGACATTGTAGCAGATGATAATATGAGCTACGCTTAGGTCATACCACAGGCAGCGTAGTTCTAAGTTTTCTAAGCCCAGAATTTCAAGTCTGGTGGCATAAGGTATTTTGTTGCAAGCAGAGGAATGGAGGACTCTTCTTGTGAAATATTTACTTTGAATCTGTAAACAACTGTTCAGAATAGTAAGCATGCATTCAAATTAGTAGAAAGGAGTTGTGCTTAACTTTCTATAATATAAAAGTGGTATCAGAATACCCTGGAACATACAATCTGACCAGAGGTATCTTAACTTTGGTATATAACTAGAGATTTTTAGCCAATTTGAGTATTCTATAATTAGAAAGGGAAAATTTAAACAAAGAATGATAAATATTTAAAAAAAATAATAACAAAAAAACATTGTGTCACTGCGCTGTAATTCCATGAACAACAAACAACAAGATTCATTATGTTCAATCTTGATTTATTTCAGGTACAGTTGGCTGAACAAGTCTAAATGGCCTGATCTGTAATGCAAATCATGGTTTATACAGGCTGTAGTTTATTTACATGTTAGACTGAGTTCTACCCGGGCATACTGTATCTGCAGGGCTGTTTTCTCACCCAGTATAAACTTAGTTTATGCAAAACTCCTAAAGGGAATCTGTTAATAGTTTTTATGCCATGGGTTAAGGGAGATGAAAACCTGTACGATGGAACTTGCCCTCCAAAATTTGAAGAGGTGCAACTTTATTAGATTCCAATAAATTACTAAAATGCAGAGTTGGTTAACAGAATGTTTGACTTATAATGACACTATCTACTTTCTTTTATTATTGGGTATTTGTGTAAAAGTGGTCATTGTAAAAAATAAGGTCTTCTCTGAAGATAATGCTTGAAAATTTTCTAGAATCTGATTGACTTACAGGTAGACTCTATATGCAGCTAATGTCCTTCAATGTTTTTGTTTGTTTGCATACCAGGTGTACTATAGATTATTGGGTCATCTATTTATAATATATTTTTCCATTTAAAATGACATAATATTGCTTTTATTTCTGCAGAGTTAGTGCATATAATTTCAAACTCCAAACTGAGATTTTCCTGCAAAAGACAATAATTTTTTGATTTTTTTCCAATTACTGCAAGCGTATCACAGATGCTTGGTAACCTTTCCAAACATACTGTTAACACTTGTCATACAAATAGAGAATAATTAATTATCATGCCTAAAGTGTGACATTTTCTCCACAAAGGCCTTGGGACTTCTAGGCAAACATTTTTAACTTGTTCCTAACAGGATACTCCAATCAAGAGCATCTGCTGTAGACAGCTATTTTAAATGATAGCATTTGATATATGATATAAAAAAAAATAAAACAGGGAAACACTGTTGTACAGTGAGTTAGAAGAGAGTAGTACTTGGGCGGATTTCAAACACTGCAAGAAGCCACAATGCAATTTGTTTGGTTTTGGATCCTGTCTTTGTGGTTTGTGAACTTGTGGTTTGTGAACTATGGTTTATGTCTTAAGTATGTTGAGTGAATCCAAATAACTCTGATTTATTCAACACACCATTGTTAAACAAATCATGAGGCAATCTAGTTTCTAAATCAGGCCGTAGTTCTATTATCTGTGTCAATCCAGAGTTTCCAACCTCTGACCAAATATTAATTCCTAGTACTGTAAGTCCCTGAGCATTCTCCATGCTAATGTAGTCCTATGGGACCCAGATCCTGTATAAAACTTCAGGTTGTGTTATCCATGTTCCAATACTGGATGGATTTATTATGTATCCTCCCCAATGTGATGACCTCCTAATATGTTTGATTGCAACTCATGGAAATTTTGCCAATGAGCATTCTGTGCTGAGTTGGAATTCTGGGAGGTGCAATCCAGTGGTGGGTTTCAAAATTTTTTACTACTGGTTCTGTGGGTGTGGCTTGGTGGGTGTGGCATGGCTTGGTGATCATGGCTTGGTAGGCGTGGCAGGGGAAGGGTACTGTAAAATCTCCTTTCCCACCCCACTCCAGGGGAAGGTTACTGCAAAATCCCCATTTCTTTCCAATTAGCAGGGACTCAGGAGGCAGAGAATAGATGGCGGGGTCAGTCAGAGGTGGTATTTACCGGTTCTCTGAACTACTCAAAATTTCCACTACCGGTTCTCCAGAACTGGTCAGAACCTACTGAAACCCACCTCTGGTGCAATCCCAATCCCTCTTGAAGGTATCAGATCATAGAGAGATAAATAAATGTCTAGCTTTTTCCAACAATTGTGAAAAGTGAACATATGTATATGTATCTTTGTAGTTTATGCTTTTTTTAAAAAAGAAAAATATATTTGTTTTCAATTTCTTTTCCATTTCTTTTCTTCTCTTGAACAGTTCCACCAAGTGAAAAGAGTGATGACCATCCTTTTCCTTACTATGGTTATTTCATACTTGAGTTGCATGAAAGCTGCCCCCATGAAGGAAGTTAGTATCAGAGGACAAGGCAGCTTGGCTTATCCTGGTCTTCGGACACAGGGAAATCTGGAGACCCTCAGTGGGCCCAATGATGCCACCAGAGGATTAACATCTTTGGCAGACACTTTTGAACATGTCATTGAGGAGCTCCTGGATGAGCAGCAGGTCATTCAACCCAGCAAGGAAAATAAGGATGCAGACTTGTACTCATCACGGGTGATGCTAAGCAGTCAAGTGCCTTTGGAGCCTCCTCTGCTTTTCCTGCTCGAGGAGTATAAAAACTACTTGGATGCCGCAAACATGTCCATGAGGGTCCGGCGCCATTCTGACCCTGCTCGCCGTGGGGAGCTGAGCGTGTGTGACAGTACTAGTGAGTGGGTGACAGCAGCTGAAAAAAAGACTGCAGTAGACATGTCCGGAGCAACGGTTACAGTCCTGGAAAAAGTCCCAGTGCCCAAAGGCCAACTGAAGCAATATTTTTATGAGACCAAGTGCAGCACGAAGGGTTATGCAAAAGAAGGCTGTAGGGGCATAGACAAGAGGTACTGGAATTCCCAGTGCCGAACTACTCAGTCTTACGTCCGCGCTCTCACCATGGATAACAAAAAGAGAGTTGGATGGCGCTTTATAAGAATAGACACTTCCTGTGTTTGTACACTGACCATAAAAAGGGGAAGATAGTGGATTCATGTTGGATAGATTATATTGAGACAAAAATTATCTATTTGTATATATACATAACAGGGTAAATTATTCAGTAAGAAAGAAAAATAATTTTATGGACTGCATGTATAAAGGAAGTTTATACAGTACCGTGGTTCCACAATCTATTTATTGAACATGTCCATGACCTAAAAAGGGAACAAAAGGAAAAAAAAAATCCATTTGCGCACAACTTTGAAAACAAACAAAATTGCATTACATTCCTCTAACATTGTGATTTGTTGCCGTTGCCAAGAATTGAAAACTTAAAAAAAAATTAAAAAAATAAAATTGCATGCTGCTTCAATTGTGAATTGATGATAAACTGTCCTCTTTTCGAGAAAAAAAAATTGAACCAAAACATTCCGTTTACATTTTAGACAGTAAGTATCTTTATTCCTGTTAGTATTATATCTGTTAACTGCTTTTAAATTCTGGTAGCGTTGGAATTAAAATAATGTCAAGGTGCTGTTGTCATAGTTTGCCTGTTGACCTTTTTTTTTTTTTAAAGTTTAAAATTCCCACATGCTTTTAATAGAGGAGAGACCCTTCTCCCTGCCATTGACATATATGTTCTGGAGAAACAAATTTGGGATTTATTTTTTTTTGTTTTGTTTTTGTATGTTGTGAAGGTGTTTGCAATATCAAATCAGACTACTGAAAAAAAATAAAAATAAAGAAGAGGCAACTAAAAACAGTCAATGTTGATCTTCTGCCCAGTGCTCTTTTCTAGTCTACACTACAAGCTATCCTTCCATTTTGGTTACAGACCATGGGGATTCCTTGAATTTTGCTTGTAACAGCCTTTTCCATCCTTCAGCTAGGTGGAGACTACATCTCCCAGAATCCCCACTTAAAGCTGCATTCCCAGCATATCTGGAGGTCACCAGGTTGACAAGTGCTGGCTTCTAAGTCATTGTTTCATGTCCGGGTTGCCTATGGGGGTCTTCTTATCTTGGGAAGCAAAAGCATCATAGTCTTTTTCAGATGTAATTTTTTTCCTCTCCCAAGGTGTTGAGAACAAATATTATATTTCAATCAAACATGGAAGAACCACACATACATTGATAGGCACCCATTATTCTTGATGCCAGACAGTATCAAGCTTTAATAGGTGCCTCTATTGATGGGCATGGAGAATCATATCCCCATAGGAAAGTCACTGGCCATGCAGCCAGAGTTGTATCGGGACAACTAATTCATTGTGATTGGAACACCGGTATTGTTAAAGGAATTAGTAAATCCCAACAAGGAAAAATAAACTGAACATCTGATCATATTTGTGCAAAAATGGCTAAGATGCCATTATTATTGTAATTACAGCACTATACAGCACTTACTGAGAGTTTATAGCTAATTGGTTTCTCTTCACAATGGCAGGTGTAGTAACCTCAACTGAATAGCACCCATGGAAACTCAGTGAAACAGTAAAGGAGATCCATGAGATATTATACACATAGTACAGCCTGATCTTAAAATAAAAGTAACGTCTAGAATATTTTCATTTTCAAGTATCGGCTTTCTGTACTATGAAACCATTCAGGCTGGAAGGAGTGGCTCTGGAATCGGAAAGGCAGAGCCTTCTACCTCAAAACCTAACTACCTGTTGCTTTTAAATATGGCTATATGCATCTATGTCTTTCTAAAGGGTAGCACAAAATAGCCTTAACTCCTACAGGGAGCTTTGATTTAAAATCCCTAAACGATGGGATACAGACCTGGCATCGGTTGTATGCACTTTAATTATAGCTGGATTTCAGTGGGATGCACATGCAAGGAGCTGACCACAGAATTAAAGCCTTAGGCCATGGATAATGATAAACAAATCCAACACAACCCAGAACACAAATAGTCAATTAGTCTAATATATACAAGTATTCTTATTCTTGCAAGAAGTTTGAAGAATTTTTTTTGCCCCTAACAGCCTGTCTCATATGATCCATGTATTAAAATGCACACAATGCCATTTAGTATCTAGCATTATTTCACAGCAACAAGGCATGCTTTCCAGGATGATTTGTTTTGCTACAAATAAACTCTTGATATGAGAACCGTATAAATAGGTGAAGGAAGTTTGGACTGTACCACTTCAGACTGCAGGTAGAATACCTCCCCACACCCCATTCCTGAAGAACAAGCTGCTTAGAAAGTCAACAAGAAGGCTAAGCAAAAGCCCTACCAGTGGTGGCTTGCTACATGTTCACCCCGGATTGGGTGAATCGGTAGCGGCGGTGAGAGGCTCCGCCCACCCACCCAGATGCTTCTGCGCATGCACAGAAGCATCGCACGCACCAGCACACACACACCTGTGAGCAAACTGGTAGCGATGGGTTTTGAAACCCGCCCCTGAGCCCTACCCTTTGACTAAGTTGTTTCCTGTGAGGATGAGATAGAGAAGCCTAATTCACAGTCCCTAATACAGTTTTAGGCATAGATTTGGGGGGTGTTTTTAGGGTTTGGGTGAATGAGGCTAGCAATACTAAAATAATATTTTATTTCTTGACCAAAACCTGCATTTTTTTTTAAGATTAAAATATCAGAATATGTTTTACTTAAAGCAACAGTAACTTAGGTAGCAGCTACTGTAATTCCAACTATTTCATTTAAACGTGGAAACTAGTCATCCCATATCATTAACATGCAAGTGTAGAGTTACCAAAAAGAAAACGTGGACACTGACAAAATCCAAGTAGAAAGAAAATCCAAGAAGAAAGAAAGAAAGAAACTAAAATAGCAGAGCTTTTTACTGGCTTCTAATATTTGAAAAATAGGATTGATTCTGATTAAACTGCAATGCTCTCCCTTAGACATGAGTTTAGTATTAAAGTAAACCAATGCTATTGATCAATGCCACTAAGCAGTAGATACTGTTTCATTATTCAACAATGTCTGCCTAAAGTCAGGCAATCCAATGGTTGTTAAAGCAAAATAGACAGAACATTATCCTTTGTAAGGGAAGATGGAGCTGGAGCTGGATTACATTTTCCAGCCTCTGACCATCCCTTTCTTTAACTTTCCTTTAGACCTATGATAATACCATATTATTATGAAATGGCAAATCATCTCTGTTATAACAATCCCTATTACATAAATAAAAAGATGGTATAAAACCATTCCACGTAAGAAGGTGCTGTTCACACAACTGAGAGCAGAAATAGAAAGGAAACCTCGTAATCTCTGAGACAGTTCCATAGCCTGATTTTCTTAGTCTATTAGCTTAAATGTTCTTTCTGTGTGCTAATGTTACATAATCCTCTTAACTACAGTATACAGATTCAAATAATCATATTCACAAAAAAAATGTATTTCCCTCCAACTCTGCCATATGAATAATTAGAGATTATTAAAATAAGCCACCTGAATTCCCTTAAGTGATGAGGAACAACTGTAGTCTGCAGTCTGAAAGAGTTAAACATAATCAAAACTGCATATCAAATATGCTCTGTTAGTGTGACCTGTGAGGGGGGAATCTAGAACATATTTATTTTATTTATTTATTAAATTTATATGTTGCCCATCTTGCTATCCACAGTGATTTTGAATAGGCATAATCTTACTCTGAATTAAAAGTGTTTAATTTTTAACAGTGAAAAGAAATGAATTGACCAAGATGCAATTAGAAATATCTAGACTTAATTTGCATTATAAAAATATCTCTTTAATAAGAAGAGGATGATTCTATCCCTCCGTTTATAATAATGAACTATTATCTTCCTAATAGTTATGAAATAATAATAGAAGCAGTAGCAGCAACTTTTTCTTAGTATTAAAATGCCTCTCAAGACATTGGAGAATATACAATGAGACCCATACTGATATAGGTTTATAAACCTTTCAAATTAAACTCTAACTTCCTCATGTTGCTGTAGGGTTCCTATTTTATCCAACAAGAAGATGAGGATGAGGCTTGAAGACCACAGAATGGGAACTTAATATGAAGGTGCAGTTCATATAACTAGTAGTAGTAAACATAGACTAATAGCTTCATTTGGAAATGTGCAAATAGTCACAGATCTTTACTAGAGTACAGAAACATTAAAGAATTTGCTATGCAACAAATTGACATTTCATGAATTAAGTTTCCTAAACATTGCAATTATTTTTAAGCTCTTCCTCCCTGCCCGGCCCCATCACTATTTTTAACACCCATGGTTATGCTAGGCCAGACCTACTATTGCAAAATACACTACAACAGGCTTGGCAGTTTTAGTGGAACTGAGATTTCAAAAATGTCAGTCAGTTGACGTTTTGCTGTGTTTTGTCTGTGGCGGAAATATTTCATTGTCATTGGCCCTATTGTTTTGTTTTGAAAAAAAAAATTGGAAATGTAAGTTAATGTTTGTGGCCTTGTTCTCTCTTATTCTCCATGTATAACAGATATTTATTGTATATTTATATAATTTTATGGGACTTTTTTGGAAAAAAATGAATCTGGCATTAAATCTTACAAGATCTGCATCACATTGTAAATATAATTAAGCTATATTTAAATGTACTGATTAACATATAATATATGTTTAAATATAGATGTTTATGTTTTTAAATATCATATATATATGTATATATATATACACACAAATATACATACATATATATGTAGACAAAAATACCCTTGGCTTTTTGGGACCATGTGACTTTTCTCTAATTGTAAACCAAACATGAGTTTTACAAAGAATATGTGTGTTCTTTTTTCCCGAAACAAAATCTACTTTTATTTTAACAATAAAATCTTCTTGGTAAGGCAGCTAGACAGCTGTTTCATATTTGGACAAATTGGCAAATGGGGAGGGTATTTCAAGAGGTTGAAAGGAAAGAAAAGAATAATAACCAGAATTAGGCCTTCTTATTTAGCTGAAAACAATAAAGACTAAGCAACTTTGAATTGGGGCCCAGTAGCTTTTATTCACTTTTAAAATAATGGCTAAACATACATTTATAATTTTCAAATCAAATAACTGAAACACAGCACAAATGAATTTTGTGCGGATGCCCTAATTCCATGTGTGCAGCACGCATGAAATGTCCTGAATGCACACATGCTACTTTGTACAATTAAGAGATTCTAACCGCATATGTAAATCCATTCTTTATTGCACAAAGCAGTGCTTATAACTTGAGCAAAAGGAACAATAATTAGCAGACAGATCAGAAACTTGTTTTTATCAGAATGGGACATTACAGAAAAATACATAGATTTCTTCTGAAGCTCTATCATTTCAGAATGCAGAAACATCTCTTTGAAAGTTTCTCCTACATCTGAAACTGCCTATATAAAAGTAGTATGTTAGAAACAATGACACGGATCTAGATTTGGGCCATATCCCCACTAGCATTTTACTGTATTTTCATGGTATCACTTCATCATCTTTAAAATGATATAAAATCTGCCTTCCTTACTATTAGTTGAGCAACACAAAAGGAACCTATGACAATTGATCTATTGGATCCATGGGAGCTAAATCATTATTGTGTGCCATTTATTTTAGAGAGATTACTGTATGACAGTGTTTCTCAGCCTTGGCAACCGTAACAGATTTGAAGTTCAGATCCCAGCATTCCTCAGCCAACCGGTCTTGATCAAGTCCAGTAGTTCCAAATTTCCCTCCGCCAGATGTGTGGCTGCTGATTTGCACACAAGCAATTTGCCAGGCAACAGTCTGAAGTGGTACAATCTTAAAGATTTAAAGTATGCATAATTTGGCTCTGCAGACTAATGTTTCTTTTTTTAAAAAAAAAGTAGGATGGGAGACACATAAATGATATACTTAGGCTGTACTCAAATAGTAATATAATAATCATATGCTTCACTAAGAAGTAGTGGATAAAAATGAAAATATTAAATATATTTATTATTCAGTCATTACTGTTACCGTGTAAAAAAATAAACATGGCTGTATAAGGACATCCTCTTAGTGGATTCCACTATAACTGACATACTTTTAAACAAATTTGCCTTTCCTACAACTGCCAAGCCTTTGTATACTTATGAATGCCATTTTCTTATAGGCATCTTGATGAAAACATACTGAAACTAAATTTTAGGAAATCCAAAAACAAAACTTTTCCCGCCAACATAAATGCCAGTAAATTCTTCAATAGTTTCAAGAAATGGTAGTTCTTTCTATTAAAAGTGAACTATTTACTTAAAAAGACATGCTGAGGGGATTCGGTTTTTTAAAAAGAAAACAACATGTTGTGTGCGTCTCAGTGGGCAACTCAATATTTAAAAAGATGGCACTCTCACGCTCAACACTTTTATTCAGACCCATGTAAGACATCTTATTTTCCTTCTAATTTCGTTGATTTAAAGTACTCCACATTATTAAATAAAACCTTTCAGATGTATAACAAAACACATCTCCAAAGTGTACAATTAATTTTGTCCAGCAGACTAAACTCTACGTGTGTACTTTATCAATTTAATTGAGACTGAGTGTACACAGCACATCAACTAAAGCTACAAGGGCTGGTTCAGAATGCAGTGGCCCCCTTCTATAGCAGAACAGTTCCTCATCAGTGTGGCATGCATACTACTTCAGCAATAATGCTTAAATATGTTGCTGGAGTTGAATAGCTGTTTCAATTTCCTAGAATTTTCTCCAGCTTCTAGCACCACTCTGAAATGCTGGGGAAAATTATATAGCAATTCCAAGCAATTTTAACTCTGAAATGAGCTCCAGGGTGCAGGGGGATTAAGTAGCTAGTACATACTAACAAACATTTCAGCGTAGCACTCACACACTTAACACCAATTAGAACCAAAAGTAGGGGCCTCTACTTCAGCTCTGCAGCAAGCCATGCAGTTTCATTCCCTGAGGAAGCAAAGCATATCATTCTATATTATATAAGGCCAGATATTGTCCTACTTTTGTGAGAAACCATGTTATCATTTGCTTTCTCATGATTAATATGTGAATGCTATATAGAGATGCTTGGGCAAGGCTGGCTTTACCATTAGACTGAATGTGGCAGTCACTTTAGATTACACATACCAAAGGGGAGATGCAGTGTTGAGAAATTGGAGGCAGAGCAGATTGTGCCCTAAGGTACATCCATTCCTGCATCCAGTAAATTAGACTTTTGCCTCCAGGGATGAAAGGCATTTTTTTCATCAGAACTGAAATCAAATTTGACCCCTATGCCAGTGGTGAAATCCAATTTTGTTTTACTACCGGTTCTGTGGACGTGGCTTGATGGGCGTGGCAGGGGAAGGATACTGCAAAATCTCCATTCCCACCCCACTCTGGGGCCATCCAGAGGTGGTATTTGCCGGTTTTCCGAACTGCTCAAAATTTCTCCTACCAGTTCTCCAGAACCTGTCAGAACCTGCTGGATTTCACCCCTGCCGTATGCATGAATTGAGGTGTATTTCTCTGCCAGGCAACAAAATGTTTTACTTCCATCCTATGCTTGGAAACTTCATGCCTGATGGACATGTGTAGGTAGATTTGTATTTTGAGAAAGAAGTTCTCAAGAAGATAAAATTGTATTACTGATGGAGAAGGTGAAGGTTGTGTGTCAATGCCATCGTATCCTCCAACTACATTTAAAGAAGTATTTTACTAGCCCAACATATTTAAACTTAAAACTATGAGATACCTAAAACCCACATCACTGTCTTCCATTGGGTCCTTCATCAGTTGTTTACAGATCACATAAGAAAACTAAGTAATGTACTTGAGGAATTTAAATTTGAAATATGATCAGACAATAACATTTTCATTAAGGGCACCAGTTCAACTCTGATAGATTACTGAAGAAACAAATGCCCCGGAAGTAATTTGGGTTCTACAGTTGATCAACCCTTACAATTAGATTATTTTTTTTATTGCATTCAAATGGAATTTGTCTGCCAATAACTTTAGTCAACTATTCTGTGTTCTGCAATGTGCAGCATTGAAAAGTAACTTTTGACTTTCTTTAGTGTGTCATCCTTTTGGATAAAGGGAGTCCTCTGGTTATGCTTCTCACACTTCTCTGATTCAGTTCTAGTTTATCTGAACTAGAACTTCTTCAGATGTGAATCCTAGAATTAAATATAATACATGAAATGGAATCTGATTAATGCAGTACACAGTGAAACTATTATTTAATATAGTTGGTGCCATGTAGCATTCAGAATTGAAAAATGGGGACAGCAATATCCAGACCACATCAATATATTTAAATTGAACATATGCAACTTTTTGTTCCATTAAGTAAACATCGCAGCTTTAATCTTACTAAACTTGGCTTGCTAAGTCACACTATAAGCATCCTATTATTTTTAAAGGGACATGGTCTTATTCAGGCTTCAGAAAAAAGTAGAAGATCACACATTTCTACATTCCCACAAACAAAAGTTCTCTCTTGTCACTTTCAGGTTTCCTAGGTTGAGTGGAAAATTCAACTCACAAACACTAGCTTTCCATGACCAAAACCTCTAATCATGGAGAAGATTCTTAAGCTGGCCTCATATATGTACTTAGTTAAATGACCAATTCGGGGATGAAATCCTACTGGTTCGGACCAGTTTGGGCAAACCACTAGGGATTATGGGCATCAGTTCACTGAACCAGTAGTAATTATCCCTCCTTAGCCCCCATGCCCAGCTGGTCGCTGCTCACCTCTTCCAGCCACTCGATATTCCACAGAATTCAATGTTAAATGCAGCAGAGAGAATGCTAACTTTTCTCCCTCCATTCAGAATGGAGCTGCTGCAGCCTGTCCCTTTTAAGGTAGTCCCCAGGAAAGGCAGGAAAATGGGGAAGGGGATTTTCCTGCTTGTTATCTATTCCTCAATCTCAGCACAGACTAAGAGAAGGATGGGAGGCAGGAATATTCCCCTCCCCATTTTCCTGCCATTTGCGACAAGGAGTGGGAGGGGCGGGGACAGTGAGGAGCCCCTTGATGTGAGTGATGTTGAGTTGGCCATGCCCACTCAGTCACATGACCTCCTCCCAACAAGCCACGCCCACAGAACCGGTAGGGGAAAATTTTTAATTTCACCCCTGCCACAATTATATAATTTGTAAAACTTGCATTCACTTGGCTTAATTCAACAAAAATGGCCATGAAAATCATGGCTTATAACAATATGCAAGCTACATCAAGTAGTATGCTTAGATTCTCCTTCAGAACTCTATAATTGAATGAAACTGCATAAATGAAAATGGGGAGGGAATAGGACTGTAGGTGCTAAAGCACTAATGATGAGCTGATGAATATAACTGGGTATTGTGACTTTATATATCTTGAACAGACAGCATATAATAGGGCTGCACAAAGTTTTACAGAAATGTTTCCATTTAACAAAGATTCAGCTAAAGCGTCCCATCGAAGGAGGATCTCAGTAACAGGTGGTTCTGAAGTGCTCCATGCCTTTTCAAAGGACTTCATGGATCCAATAGAAGCTTCCGGCAAGGTGGATAAAAATCAATGATTTTTTTTTTAATTAAAAATTGGATTTTTTAAAATTTAAATCAGATTTTTTTAATTTTTATTAAATTTATTTTAATAAAATGCTTTTGGAGTAAAAATCTATCTAAAGATATTTTTCTATTTAAGATACATTAATGATTTAGTTTATTCAGCATGAAATGGAGCTTAGTTATGTAGCATGAAGTAACATAACTGCACCTGTAGACTCGGTGAGTCTACAGCAGGTCAGAGGAGGAGCTGCTGCGGGACAGAGATGACAGTTGATCTTTAAAAATTATGATTTAAATCAAATTGATTTAAATCAAGCCTTTTTACTAGTGATTTAAAT